TGGACATTGATCATCCTAAATGACATGGTTGATGCTGACGTGGATAATTTATGCAATTTTTTCTATTATATATATTTTCATTTTTTCTCCACCAGTCGTTGGGCCTCAGCGATGGCCGACGATGACTAGTGAGGGTCTTGCCAAATTTGGCACGGTTTTTGACAAGCACTGAGCTCACCCTAGTGGGGCCAATCGTGGCGAGGTTGAGCCTCGCTTGAGGCCGATGGGGGCAAGGTCATTGCCTATGGCTGGTTGCCGACCATTGTTGAGGGGAAGTGACCGGTAGAGGAAAAATGAAAAAGAAAAGCAAAGAAATTGCAAAAATTGTTCACGTTAGCGCTGATCCTAACCGTACCACGTAGGATGACCAGTATCAACGTCAGCGATTTCCGATCAAAATTGGCCGGCTGAACTATATTTGCAAATTGTCAAAAGGTTTATGACTCAATTGACTAAATTGAAAGGTTTAAGACTGAATTGACACAATTACAATAGGTTTATGACTTTTTTGATAATTTTCCCTAATAATGACTTTGTTTCGTGGCACATATTTCCACTCATTGTACTGTAGAAAGGAAATATCTTCTAGAGCGTGCTTGGTCATACAAACTCTCTTCCTAAATATGGATAAGGGGCAATTACAATATGACGATTACCGTCATGCCCGGGCTTGGACCACCTCGCGGTGGTTGCCTTTACGTCAAGGTTTCAACGATCTCGTGCTCTTGTTGCCCAAGGTCGTGTTTAAGCAAAAAATAAATAGAAATGGAAAACAAATGAAAAATAATTTTAGGGTTTTGTGTTAGTCTAATTTATTACTTTACCTGTGAATTTTATACTATTTTTCTCTACTATATAAGAAATGTTTGCCTATTTATTCTGTTAGTATTTATAAATTAATTATCAAAACAAAACAATTACTAAAGCATATCTTATAATCTCTTTAATACATACATATATACATATATATACATACACACACACATATATATATATATATATATATATATATAAATATATATACCGGCTTGGAAGTTTTGCCCAAACTTGCCCAACAATCCTAAAAAATCCAAGCTATTAGCCAGCTTGGGATGCATGCCCATTGATCAGGTCTACTGGCAAATTGTAGCGGTTAGATCTCATACAACAGTCACCGATTGTTGAGCGCAGGATGCTCGCCCATTAATCAGGTGATCAAATCTCACACGACAATCACCGCTCTTTAAAAATCTCACGCCACAGGTGGGATAATCTTTGTCCTCCTTACATCCCAACTCTCAATGTAATCTACTCGAGATAGGACACCAATCAAGAGGATAATCACACAAGTTGCAAACGCTGCATTAGGGTTTTTCATCTTTTATTTTCTTCTTTCGTTCTCGGTCTCATGTGCTTTCTTTTTTCCTCTCTTTCATCCTTGACCAGTACAATAATACTAGCTCATCTTGTCTACCCTCTCCAAATCCTTGTGTGACCCATTTTTGGATATGAATAGTGATTTTTTCTGTTCCTAAATTACCTCTCGAACCTAAAATTTCTAATCTTCAATATACCAAGCTCGATGCCACATTGCCCAAAGTAATCTCTGTTCTGCTTTACCATTGCCTATCTACTTGTGAATTCATGGATTGCCTTACATAAACATGTTACTGATAAACCTTTCGTGGCTGCGATTTGTCCAAATCGTTAGGGTTTTCTTGATTTCTTAGCTGATAAAAATAAGTCAATGAAGTCACCAAACTAGGAATTAATATCTCACATTTCTTGTCCATGACCACAATGATCCTCCCAAATAACGTGGATTATGAACCATGCTTTGCTCAAGAGGCATGTCCAGAACATTTAGTCTTTAACCTCTAGCTCTTCTACTGACATTATGATGAGCATTAGGCCTCATCCAACAACTGATGCTAGATTAGCATAGGCTAAGTTACACAATTGTAATAGTAAATTGTTTTCTCATGTTTTGGAAAAGTTCATGTGGTTCAATATGGTTTCGTAATATCTAGTTGGAAAGCTCTTTGTGTCTGGTTTGTAATGCATCGAGTTCCATGCAATTTGAAGTCTTCTAGGAAAAAATTATGACCAAAATGCCAGAGACCAATCAGTTTTTGTCTTGAAAATTGAAAAGTTGGGTGTCTTAGAACTTGCTTATGCTTTAATGAATGTTCTATGTTGTGTCTTTTTTGGTAAATTTTATATAATTATTGAGTCCTCCGCATTATATTTTTATTTTATAGTTAGTGTTGGTATTCATGTTTTGTCCATGGATTATTTTTCGTGTTTATCTTGAGAAATGAAAAGTTAGGCGCCTTGGAATTTTCGTAAAGCTTTATATAATTCCAAGGTTTCTAACTTAATGCTAACTTATTTTGGGCTAAAAAATAGATTTTCACCCCATTGGAAATTTCTAAGAAATAATGTACGGTGAAGTCACTACTATATATTTGCATGTCACTTTGCCCCCCAGTTGATAAAAACTAATAAACAATTTGAAAACCATGAGAACATAGTTGCTACGGATAAGGAAGTGTAAGAACAATTTTGACAATAATCATTGATCAAATTTTGCCCTATCTAAGAAGAATTTCTAGATAAACCCTCCGTCAACTTTAAGAGTATTTTTTGTCAATAAACTTATCTCTTGGATTAAAATATCATTTAAATTATGTATCGTAAAATAAGAATATAGACCTTGGCGAACTCTTTATAAAGAAATATGTGTTTATAAGTATATGGCCACAAAGGTAAATAATTGCTTCATTGCACCATGCATGAGCATTTCCTTTTGGATTAGACGTACAAACACAACGAAATAGAGAGTAAAAAGATGAAAAAGAGAAATCGAGACACAATATTTTATCTTGATTCACCCTTAAACTGGGGATCTTATGCCTTCTTGTCAATGGGGAGTGTGAACCACACGCCAACAATTTCTTATATTCAAAGGACTTAATTCACTCACTGGAAGGTTCCCATGGATGCCACAGGTCAGAACATATATAGTTTGTGCATGGATTGACTTTTACATTTTTAATTTTTGCTTAATTAAAAACTTGTGGCTCAAGCACTTTGACTTTTAAAACTTGAAACTGTCGAAATTTTCACATGATACAAATATTGACATGTAAATTCATTAACAATATTTCGATATTCCGTTTTAATCAAAAAGGAGATAAAAGAAGGAGATCTCCAAAGCTGGTACAGGCATATATAGATGTTGGAAAAATAAATTATTAGTGTTGCATTTTTTCCACTCTCTTTTTAGTTAAAGCACTTCTCAACATAATAATCTATCTATATTGCACTTTGTGGGTCTCACTTTTTAGCATCCCTTTTCTGCCAATGTTTAAAAGAAAATGTTTGTTACATTTTTTCTGGTCGTGTCTCTTTTCTTTTATCAATTTTCTAAATCTTTTCTTGTGGGTTGCATGTTCACTTTTTTTGTTTTCTTCATTCTCTACGTTCTCTTTTATGTAGCCACTCATAGCAATAAATAGGTAGAGAAATGGAGACTTCCATGCTTGTGTAAGCAGAGGCAACTGAACTGGTCCTCATGACCCACGACAACACCTTCTCAAGCCACCTAAGTGAAGGCTTTGCGCCACATGTCTTACGACAGTAAGGAAATGGTGTTCGCGGAGAGTGGCGCATAATAGCGAAGCATGAAAAGGTTGTGCACTCTATATTTGATGAGCCCTTGGAGTAGTATGCGCCAATGAGGAGGAGGAGGAGATGGGAAGGGTAATGGGGAGGTTGAGGACGGCGGCCTTAAGGCATACTCTTCACAATTTAAAACATTTCATCGAAAAACCCTTTTATGTACAAAGAATCAATGAAAATGAAATTCACAAAAGCAGCGTTACTCATAAGCAAATTCTCTTGGTATTTCATTGCCTCCTAGAGCCTGACAATCAATTTCCTCACCTTCTCCCAATCTAGCTGTCGAAAATATCCACCAATCAATTTGCTAAATTTCCTCACAAAGAGCGTGAATTATATTGAGATTGAGTGAGTTAAATTGGTAACCGCAGAAATGGAGTTGTCAAGGAGAAGGGCTTTGTCGACATCTTGGTGGCGGGTTGATGTGGCTCTGCCTATGATATGTGAGCATAAGGACGTGACCTTCATGATTTTCTATTTCTCTGCCTCTTGAGAGAGAACAAAGTTCAACAAAAAAAAAAGAGAGAGAATAATGAGAATGAAGAAGATTAAGGAAAATAAAAAAATCAATAAAAAAAGTGACAAATGGATGCTAAATAGTGGGACCCACAAAGCGTAATATTGTCAGAATACTATATATTAAGGAGTATTTTAGCTATAAAGAGAGTGGAAAAAGCGTGACCCATTATCGGAGATAGATAGTTCAAATAAGAGGCTAAGGGTGCGCATGACAACAATTTTGTGCCCGGAAACTGATTCTGCTCAGAAATGATTCTTTTTTATTCTGTGCCTGGGAACTGATTCTGAGCATTTGAAGGCGTTTGGTAACGGTTCAAAATTTCGATTCCTGGAATAGAAAAAGAACAGAAATGCGTTTGGTAACGGCACAAAATTTCTTTTTATTAATAATATTTAAATATTTATTTTTTTTTCTTTTTATTTTCTTTTCCTCCTTCTCGGCCATGGCCTAGTCGCCGGCCATGTCATCGGCCACAGGCTAGGGGCGGCGAGGGTGAGGGCTGGACCCTCATGGCCTGGGCGAGGGTCGCTCTCGCCGGATCCGGCGAGTGCCGCGACGCCCTCGCCGATGGCCGGCGAGGGCCGGCTGTGTCGCCGGTGGCCCATGGCCGAAGAATGAAGAAGAAGAACAACAAAAAGAACGAGAAAGAAGAAGAAAAAAAAAAATTCTTTTTCAATTCTGATTCTTGTTCCCAGAATCAAGAAAGCTACTTTCTTTTGCTTTTTGGTTATGTTCCAAAACTGATTCTGGGAACAATTTTTTGCAAATTTGTGCCCAGGCATAAAAATTTTAGCAAATGGATTTCTATTTCCAAACTGATTTTGAGAATAAAAGAACAGAAATTTTCACTATTTGGTACTTTATCAAACGAGCCCTAAAAGTTTCAAACCATAAAAGAGGTCAAATCAAGACCTAGACATTATAAAGGGGCAAAGAGATCTCATGGCTCTTTTCTGTACTCGAGGAATCTAAATTTCCATCACGGCCGGTACGGTTATAACAACATATGTTTTTATCATAATTTCAATACGAAACATCATGACACACACATATATATATGTTGAAATTTTTTTCAGTAAATGGCTGTAGTATATAGTTCGCATAGTTTAAGGTGAGTGTTTCATGCCCTCATGCCATGCCGGTTCAATACCTCGAACCCAAGTGCTTTACGCTCTGCACCCACCTCGTCCCTCGTCCCCTGTTTCGCTCATCTTCCGAAGCTCGCAAGGCCACCGCCAGCAATCACAAACCCACCAAGCGAGCCCACAAATCCAAAGCCTCCACCTTCTCCTTCCGGAAATCGGCCCCCACCCCTCTCTTGTCCGATCGCAGGCACCGCCCTCGGACCAAGCTCGAAGCTCTCGATCGAGTGGTCGACGACCTCGAGGCCTCGAAGGCCAATGGCGTCGCCATCGACGTCGGGATCTTCGCTTCCGTTCTCGAGGCTTGCTACCAGTTACGGGCCTTCGACCATGGCGCTCGGGTTCACCGCTTGATACCCACCAACCTGTTGAGGCGGAACGTGGGGTTGTCGTCGAAGCTGCTGCGGCTGTACGCCGCGAGCGGCCGCGCCGGTGATGCCCACGAGGTGTTCGACCAAATGCCCAAGCGGGACGCGTCGGCCTTCGCGTGGAACTCGCTCATGTCGGGGTACGCCGAGCTGGGTCAGTACGAGGATGCCCTCGCGCTCTACTTTCAGATGGAGGAAGAGGGTGTCGAGCCCGACCGGTATACTTTCCCCCGAGTTCTGAAGGCTTGTGCTGGAATTGGGTCTATTCGGATTGGCGAGGCGGTGCACAGGCACGCGGTCCGTACCGGGTTCGTTTGCGATTGCTTTGTGCTCAACTCGCTCGTTGACATGTATGCCAAGTGCGGCGACATTGTTCAGGCTCGCAAGGTGTTCGACAAAATGCCGAGTAGAGATTTGGTTTCTTGGAATACAATGTTGACGGGTTACATACATCATGGGCTTTTGGTGGAGGCGGTGGATTTATTTCATAGGATGCTCCAGGATGGATTTCGGCCGGATTCAGTGGCAATATCCGCCATTCTAACTGGTATTCCATCATTGAAGCTTGGGCTCCAAGTGCACGGTTGGGTTGTTCGGCTAGGATTGGAGTGGACCTTGTCCATTGCCAATTCTTTGATTGTTGTCTATTCTAATCACGGGATGTCAGATAAAGCGAGTTGGGTTTTTGACAACATGGCCGAACGGGATGTTGTGTCGTGGAATGCTATTATATCTGCCCACTCCAAACTCCCTCATGCCCTGTCATATTACGAGCAAATGGAAGGGGCTGATGTTTTGCCAGATTGCATTACATTTGTGGCATTGCTATCCACCCTTGCTCACTTGGGTCTCGTCAAAGACGGTGAAAGGTTGTTTGCAAGAATGAGAGAGAAATATAGAATTGAACCCAGCATGGAGCACTATTCTTGTATGGTTAATCTGTATGCAAGGAAAGGGATGGTTGATGAGGCTTATGCGATGATTGTAGAAAGAATGGAGTTTGAGGCTGGCCCAACTGTTTGGGGAGCTCTGCTGCATGCTTGCTATGTTCATGGCAACGTCGAAATAGGAGAAGTCGCTGCTGAAAAGCTCTTTGAACTGGAGCCAGATAATGAACACAATTATGCGCTTCTAATTAAGATTTATGAGAATGCTGGCAGATTGGATGATGTGGAGAAGATGAGAATTATGTTGGTGGAGCGAGGGCTAGAATTGGAGACTTGCTAGGCTGCACAAAAGGGGAAGGGTTAGAACCTGTGAGATTTCCTTTGTAATATCCTGGAATTTTACATGTACACATCGAAAGGAGCATGTAATTCTTGATCTTGACCCTTGTATGATCTTCCTCTATGGATGGATTGTGACAACAGTCAAGAGATAATTACCTTAAATTTCACTTACCAAAGCTGATTGTTTGAGATGGTTGTGAGAGATTGGTTCGACTGGAACATTCGCAGCTTGGACTACCTCGGGTTAGTACAAGAAGCGGGGAAGTAGGCTTTGTTTGGGATGGAGCAACGACAACGGATTCAATCGGGGAGGCGTGTTGGGTTCATTGACTAGCTAAATTTTCATGCTAAATCAATGGGGTTAGTACAGTACTCACCTTCTGAGCGAACTTCTCTTCACAGTCGCAGGTTTTTCGTGCCTCTTGTTTTGATACATTAGTGAATATCATTGAACGACAAATAGCTATTGGATTGATGCTGAAGCCGAACAGGTAGGATTGATTAATGGACATGAGCTTTCAGATCCCACAACGCCAGTCCCATCGCCAAGCTTTTTGCATCTCATCTTATTCCCATGCGATGAATAGACTTCACATTGCACACAATCACACTGCTTCTGCATGCACTGAAACCAGCGCTCATGAGTCGCGACACTACAGACCAAACATTGCTTAAAGCAACGCGTCCCATGTGCATCAGCTAAAATTACATGAAATGGCAATTATTCTGGAACGTGTCCCATCAGTACGCTGTTTCTGACCAGTTGTCCTTTGTTTATACTACATCGATCAAGGATTATAATAAACTAAGGCACTAACTGTTGCCTTGCATGTGTGTTGGCTTTCGGTTTTTTAGTTATGGTTCGGCTAGATGTTCATAGATTATTGACATTAGCATGGAGTGCATTCGACTGCCCGAAAAAAATACACTTACTGCTCCGTAGATTCGCCGCCTGCATCACTGTGACTCACGAAACTCATTTTTCTTTGCTTTGTCCATTACACTTCCTCAACCTCGCATCCTTTTGTCCTAGGCCCTCAGTCCTGGTGAAATTTCCTCAGGATTTTTATAGTTTGGCTGTTATAATTAGCGATCGATGGTTGAGTAGTTTTTGTGAGAAGCATATGGATACAGAGAGAAGACCCTTAGGTCGGCACATGAAACAATAGGATCAACTTGTTTTACAATGATACAGAGAGAAGACCCTTAGGTTGGCACATGAAATGAAAGGGTAAAACCTGTTTTACCTGCTTTATGCAACTGTCCCTCGTTCTTCTTTCTTTGGAGGCTCCTTTCTCATGTTCATTCTTTCCACATCACTTGGACAACGGGGAACATCCTTCGATGATCTCTTCTTAGGACTCAAAAGAAGCATATGCGGCCTCAGACGGGTTCAATTATTGCTTCGTCATAAGATAATTCGTCGCAAATCCCCTTCGTCTCTTCATGGACGACCTGAATTTGATCGGATCGAAGATGTGAATTTAGTTTAATTTGTGAAAGTTGACCCAAGAAATCATCTAGCTGTCTAAAATACAATTTTTTGGGTCCGCACAAGAGATTACTTTGACACTGCTGCTGTTTGCTAGTACCTAGCGTTATCAACGGGCTCTGACTGCTTCTCCCAAAGGTTGGTCCATCGCACTCACGTCGGCACGACATTGTCGTAATTTACCTGTCTTTAACGACAAGATAGTCTGCCAAATCTCGACATTTCCAGAACCACGTTAGACCTCCACTTCATGCAACTATTATTTTTGTTCAAAGCCCTTCTTTCGTGGCCATTGCCGATTGGCCTAAAATCAGTTCACACGCAGGTACACACAAAATCCGCCCACGTTGGAGCAGTAAGTGTAAACATGCCAAAAAAGAAAGAAAAGAACAACCCCTTTACTTTAATAATTCCGTGAATTGCGTGCATTGAAGATTAGGTTATATATGCACCAATGAGCCTCTAAGTTATGGTCATCTTTCATCCTCTATCTCTCCTCCACTTTCTCTCAATACCTTGTGAAGTTTCTGTAGTCCGAATCAATGGCAAGACTTGCCTTTTTCTTGGTATCGTCCCTCTCCATCTATTTCCACTTCACAGCGGCCGCGACTACTGCTGCTGCCACGAGTACTTCCAGTTACGCAAACTTCGTCAAGTCTTCGTGCAGCGCCGTGCAGTACCCCGCCCTCTGCGTGCAGTCGCTCGCGGCCTATGCCTCGACCATCAAGCAGAGCCCGCAGCAATTGGCCCAGACCGCCTTGGCGGTGAGCTTAGCCCGGGCTCGGTCCACCAAGGACTTCGTCGTGAGAGCGGCCAAGTTTAGGGGCCTCAAGGCGAGGGAGTATGAAGCCATAAAGGATTGCTTGGAGGAGATGGACGATAGCGTGGACCGGCTCGCGAAGTCGGCGAAGGAGCTCAAGAGCGCAGGCGGATCCAAGGGCCAGGATTTCCTGCGGCACGTGAGCAATGTCCAGACGTGGGTCAGTGCCGCGTTGACAGACGTGACTACTTGCCTCGACGGGTACGCGAGCGCAGCCCTGAATGGCCGGTTGAAGACTTCGATCAGGTCCCGCGCGCTTAATGTGGCGCAGGTCACCAGCAACGCGCTCGCTTTGGTCAACCGATACGCCTCGAAGCCGTGATCAAGCAAACGCACCACGAAGCCGTTACGATGTTCCGTCGGAGAATTTTGGGATGTATTTTCCATAGCGATTTGGATCTTGATGCATGTACACATGATCTGGTATGAAAGTCAATGACTTTGGGTTCTGTCGAAACTTTTGGTGACTTCTTTGTCAAACGACATATGGCTATGTAATCAACACGAACCTACTTTGGATGAGAACTTAAAAGTCGCCCAAGTGCATGGCTTCCGAGTCAATCATGAATTGTGCTAACGAGGAGGGAAGTTTAACATATAATGGACGGGAAAATTACCAAAAAAAAGTCTTCAACCTACTGTAATTATGTTAATTCATTCCTAAACCTTTTAATTTGGCCAATTTAGTCCTAAACTTTTCGAAAATTTGCCAATTCAGTCTATCCGGCCAATTTTGATCGAAACTTTTATTGCCTTCTTCGTCAAACAACGTATGGCTATGTAATCGACACGATAACTTACTTTGGAGGAGAACTTAGAGTCGACCAAATGCATGCGTTCGAGTCAATCATGAGGATGAGGAGGGAAGTTTAACGTATAATCCAGGGGAAAATTACCAAAAAAAGTTATAAATTTATTGCAATTGTACTAATATAGTTCTAAACTTTTTAATTTAACCAATTTAATCCTAAACCTTTTGAAAAGTTGCCAATTCAGTCCATCCAGCCAATTTTGATCAGAAATCACTGACGTGAACACCGACCATCTTAGTGGCACCGCCAACATTGATGTGGAAAAATTTTGCAATTTTTTTTTTTATTTTTTTATAATTTTTTTGTTTTGTTTTCTTTCATTTTTTTTCCCTTCTTCCTCCACGATTGCCGACCTCCTCGTTGGCCGGCCACTGGCCATAGGCGAGGGTTGCCCTTGCAGGGGTGAGGTCGCTGAGGCTGGCGAGGGTTGGCCACGCTAGCCTCGAGCCTTGCCAAAGGCCAGCAAGGGTCGACCTTGCCAGCTCGAGCGAGGCTCGCCCTCACTAGATACTGGCAAGGTGACCTCGCTCGGTTGGCGAGGTTAGCCCTTGCCTGTGGTTGGTCATTGGCTATTGAGGTGGCCAGTGACCGCGGAGGAAGAAGGAAAAAAAAAGAAAGAAAAGAAAAAAGAAAACAGCATTTTTTTTTATGAAAATTCAAAAAAATTAAAAAAATTATCTACGTCAGTGCCAGCGGTGCCATGTAAGACAGTCGGTGTTCATTTCAGCGATTTCCAATCAAAATTGGCCAGATTGACTGAATTAGCTAATTTTCAAAAGATTTACGATTAAATTGGCTAATTTAAAAGATTTAAGACTAAATTGACACAATTACAATAGGTTTAGAACTTTTTTGATAATTATCCCTATAATCGAGCGCAACCGAGTAACAACATTCATATAGCCAATCCTACTCGGGTTTGCTTTGTTATTATAGTTGGTACGCTATGCTGATGCCGTTTGACTAACTGTTCATAACTCGTACTAAGGGTCATGCTTAAAGTTCACGCGGTCCAAATGGCGTGTTGCCTACGAAGTAAACTGAGAAACGCCTCCCAATTCGTGCCTTTAGTTCATCGCAGCCAACGTCAATCAAGCAATGTAAAATGAGTTTGACTAAGACTCATTGACTAAAATGCCTTGCCTAGTCACATTTGAGGATGTCTTTTGACATATGAGAAGATTGGACACTACATGCACCAATCGGAGCTTTCGATTCATGAAGAGAACAACGAAATGAATCCTTCATGTTCGTGCAGATTTCGCATGTTTCTCTAAGCAAAAGAGTTTTATCATCGATTTCGAGAAGTTAGCCCGGATGATTAAAGGCCTTTGGCAGCCTTCACGAGCGTGTCGGCTTAAGTTTTTGGCCCCTATTAAGTGTGACTTCTTGAAATTAGGTCACGAGGAAGTAATTTCCAAGAATTGCACAGCGCCGATGTGGATGGCATGCTTTTCGTCGAGATGAAAAGAGATTGACTTAGTTCGACGCATGGATTTTGGTCCATCACATCATCCAATTGTTATGCCCGAAAAAAGAAGAAGAAGAAAATTTTTGATCGATACACCTGCAAAGCACGAGTTTGAATGTATTAAGCACGGTTAACATGTAGAGATTGTAGGACAAGCCCACCGGAGGAGACTGGGTGAGTTAGAACCGTTCTAAAGGGTACATTTGCTTGTCACTGAACTCTGATAAAAAAAAATTATTGACCAAAAAAAAAAAAGCTCTGATAAAATTTCCAATCAGGTGACTGAATTGGTTGTCAATAATGCAATAATGCCCAGATTTCTCGTTTCTCTGCAACATATGAACTTTGATCGAAATGTGTCCAATCTTCTTACAACATACTGATGCGGTGGCCATGTGGCAAGGACGTGGCGTCCTTTTTATATATCCATGAGTCCGCCCCCTTGGCGAGTCACTGAAAATTGGTTACTTTCATGGTCAAACGATATCAATCGATAAATGAAACTTCAACGTGTTGGATTATTGAAATTATAGTTCCGTGACCTGATTGCAAGTTCCATCGAACGAACTATGACCCTCAACTTGTATTTCCAAATTTTATGAAGTTCTTCTTTCTAGTCGAAATGCGTCACAAACAAACATTCGGAAAAATTATCGAAAAACTGTGAGATCTGTCACTGCGAGAATAGTTCCTCAGGGGACAACGGACTTTTTTCCACTAGCCTGTGTAATAACTAGTACTTATCTATTACAACTTAGATGAAAAAATCCCTCCGCAGATGATGGGAACCATTGTCTACCACCGTCGCCACCGTCAACGTTGCATAGTTGGCGACCATCGTAGTCGACCCGCCACCGAATTCCCACTGATTGTCAACCAGCCACTGGTGACTACGGGCCCCGACCCTTACCAGTGGCCGCAATGACTCGAGCCACAACATGTTCGATGGGGGGGTGAGAGAGAGACTTCGAACTTGTAAAAACATGGCAATTTTACGGATCACACTGTTGGCTAATTATGGATCATCCATGATGCCTAGCGCTTTGGTAATACTGGTTTGTATCTTTTGAAAGCAGAAATCAAGCTTTGCTTCCGTGCTGCTCTTATGGGTTTTAGGGTTTAGCAAATTTAACATCTGCCTAGTGATTGCATAGCGAGTCTTTGACCCTCACCTCAGTAAAGCAAATAGGCCTTATAATCTCACGATAGCAATTCCAAACCAAGCCAGCCAAGCATTCTCAATCAAACAGATAACAACTATTCATTTTCTCACGCCCGAAAGTTAGTGAGAAAAAAATAAATCAGAGAAGGTATCTAACTATCGATAGGGGATCGGAACCGTTCTATTAACTAGCCAAAAAGAAGAAAAAACAATAAGCTGCTATACAATTTACCTCAGAAGGATATACCGGCATCATCCAATAACGATACCGACACAATACAAGACGGCATAAACTCATCCCTCTAGCTTTACTCTCAGCTAAATCTGGGCTACTGCTGAAAAGTGCAAAGTCATCTACAATTTTGGTAAATCAAACCTATCTTGACTCACTTTCTCTCTCTCCCGACGAATGCCGAAAAACTAGTAATGTCATGTTAGAAACGACTACCTAGTCTTGTGGGCTTTGGCCAACTTCTCCCTTCTTTTCTTCACAGCCTTGGGGACTTTGTTTTTCCTCGCTTCCCTTTTTTCCTCTTTGACCTTCTTTTTGTTCTCCTTCCTTGCAGCCTTCTTGTCGACAGGAGCCTGCGCCTCAGTTTCGGAAGCCGACTCATTTCCTTCCGAATCTTCATCTACATCTGTATCAGACTTGGACTCACCACCGCAAGCTTTAGTATTATCGCCAAGATCGGTCGGCTTTTCTATAGCATTAGCATCCTCCTTCGTGAGAGCCTGATGTAACCCCGTAATAGTCTTGTAGTACATGTCCCCAGTGTCCTTCCCACTTGTTATCCGAATCACGTCCTCTTCCGCATTTTTCACCGAATCCAGTGACTTTGGTATATATGACTGAAAGAGAGCATAAACAAACAGTTATTAACCGAGGCAATAGTATAAATAACCTGCAATGTCACCTCATGTAATGAAGAATGCAAATTTAGATTACTACTCCCCATAGAGCGTATTATAACATATCTCCATAAAACAAACCACAACTGTGTAAAGCATTTTTTCGGCATCATAAACAAATGCATCGGGTTTCCATTCGAAAAAGTCTCACAAGTAAAAACTGGTGCACCAAGAAGCAGCGACCTACGAACTTGGGCACATGTGGCTTCCACTTGATCTAGAAATTCCTAGGTGCCCTGCAAATTTGGTCCCAGGGCTATATACTATTTCCTTTGACAAGAAAACATCACAGTTCAAAGTTCACTACATAGCCTGTTGAAAATTCATAAACTCAGGGCAGTTAGATCCTGCATCAAAAGCTTGCAAGATGCTATACTGACAGGCATTTACCACCTAAAATTCATGGAATAACATTGACAGAAGAGAGCTTGTTATACCAACTGTATTTTCAATCCAAAACAAAGGTTAAAGGCGTATGGATTAACTAAGGAGACAGAAAATTTGTTAGAAAATGCTGTTATTATCGATGTTTCGTCCCGACAGTTGTTTGTCAATACCAGCGACTTCTCCATGTTAATTCTGGTCCAGGTTCAGATGAATACGATAGTTTCATATATATGAAGTTTGCGGGAATATTGCACCGGACACCTACAGCTATACTATATAGACCTTAAAAAGCTAAGAGTCATAGATCGTTCTAAAAACCAGTTAGCATTGAGTATCAACTCTACTCACAATTCTACCAGTTAAACTCCCATGTGCTAGTTGCACTGCATGTGCACATTGGTGACGAGTCACTTTTTTCCTACTTTTCACCAGGCATGTGAATGTAGGAATTTCCTTCTACTTTTTTCATCACTTAAAAGACCATATCTATGGAAAAAATCACAGACAAATAGCCCAGAACATGAACTTTACGCGCTTTCTGACCAGCCCACCATCATCAGAATTGATGAGCCCACATGGGTATATTAATAACTATCTCTTTACATAATCGCTAATGAGGAAAAAAAGCATAATGCAAGAGTGGAGAAAATGCTGATGTCCCAATAACCTGTACAAAAACGGAGTCCGCAATTTCATCTTCTGGCGACAACACATTTCCTCTCGCCGAAATTCTTTGCTGAATCTGCAATGGAATCAAAGTGTTAAATGAGAGACCACACAAGAGTTCTAAGGATAATGCTGGCTTGAGAAATAAGATCGTGAAATTTAGATCGTAAAGGAATAACCTCTTCCAAATAACTATCAACTGAATCATCAGTTATGGATGAATCAACAATAAAATCAAAGAGCTCCCGGATTGTCATTACGCCAACGCCATGTTTCTTGAAGAAGTCCTGTATATTAGTGACTCATTAACCCATGTTTACTTATGGAGGAAATAAAAATGCCCTTACAAACAAGAAAACTATTCGTTCAGTAGGATAAATCTTACAGAAACATGAAGGCAGTCTTCTCGCAGGAAATCAAGAGCATGAGGATGATCAAGATCAACAGCCTGAGAGACATCAATAATATAAAGGTGCTCCTGCCAAACAGACGGGGAATACAGTCAGTTTTCTAGCACCTTCCACATTCTTAAGTTTCATGACCACATCAAAACAGTAAGCAAAGAAGAGAAATGTAAGCTCACCTCAAAATATAGTATGTTATATTCACTCAGATCTCCATGAACAAGTTTGCAATTCTGATACAATGTTCTCATAGCAATAATCAGCTGACAAAAGAAAACTTATGTCAGTTATAGTAAACAGGCCTCCAGCAAAATATAACGTGAAAGTAAAAATAAATACCTAGTCTTTTTTGCAAGTGATAGGGTCATTAATCATAGATTCAAATAAGGAAAAAGACGGCAACTACCCACTTCCACATCCACCCACCCCCTTCCTCTCTTCCAAAAAGAAAAAAAGAAAAGAGAGAAAATATAAGAAAAGGAAACCTCGCAATCTCTCTTGCAGAACATTAAATGGCGTCTCTCACTTGCTCACAGTGCATCTACTTCACATCAAACATCACAGTTCACGGTGACATGACCCATAGTTACCAAATCACTATAAAGCGCAACAGAAATGCTGACAAACCTCTCGATAACATTCGCGCAACTTGTCCAAAGACAAAGCAGCATCCTTAAGACGAGGTGCAGCCCAACCCGCCTTGCCTACAATGAGAAAATTAAACAAAATATATCATAACTAACTCCTGTAACTTTAATAAAGCTGAAAGCCAAAATGAAAAGAGGAAATCGTAATGTAACTAGAAAAGACTGAAGATCCATTGACTAGGGCAAAGGTATCCACAATATGCTAATGACCTTCCCAGACACTATCAGTAGTAGTCAGTAAAATGCTTATAAGCATGAAAATTAGGTACGGAATACATAAAATTATTAAAAAGGAGAATCCAATTTTGGTTTTCTTTTTTTTTTTTTGGGTGAAAAGTCCACTCTCTGCTTTATTGGTATAAAGAAAAGCTGGATATCTTTAAGCAGATTTTGATAGAAGGTGATGATGCTCACTTCTATGAATACTAGGCCCAAAATGCTTCTCGACCTATGAGGACGCATATTAGTGTACAGTGTACACTAGTTTCCGAAATATGCTCCTGATGACATTAGTATCTTAGGTTATGCCTATAATTTGTAGGAACAACTAGCCATCTGTAAATGCTCAAACTGAATCGGTGAGCAATTACTATGAGCAAAAATTTAAAACAAGAGGATGATGAGTCCTGCAGTACACATAAATTCCAATTGCAACTTTTGGAAGTGAAAAAGAATATGCACAATCATGGATATCCAGAAAGAATACCTATGAAATCCATGACAAGAACATGAAGTTTCAAAAGATGAGGAGTTGGACATCTAATTCCAGCTGCCTTCAGCCTGCATGCGTTAGCAAAGTCATCACATAACATGCTCCAATCAACTCTTGTAAGAAAAACAATACCTAAACAGCCTTCCTAAATTAATTTTTTACCCATGTCTGAGAACAGATTTGTAAAACCAGGAGAAGATATATAGGCAAAAGAATTGCAAGTACTGCATTTTTCACATGAAAGACACCAACTTGATCATCATTTTTTGTTGAAAAAAAACAGAAGATTAAATTGTTCAACTGTAAAAGAATAGCACTCGCCTCATAAGATTCCTCATTTCCTTTTCAGCCCATGTTTTTACCATTTTCCTGGGATTATGCTTGCCATACGCATGTCTGAAACGAAAATCCCCTTGAACATACCGATCTCGGTCCCTGCATGATTTCACAATAGAGAAGTGAAGTAAATCATTACTAAAAATTAGCAGCAGCAGAACAAAACTCACATGTGAATTAAATTTGTCAAACATAATCTAATCGATGAATGCCCATAGAAGTTAGAAAGATCTTAGCTTTGGAGAAGGCCATGTTCATACAGCTTTGCTTAAATGTATGCCAATTATTGACTAGCTGAGAGAGACAATTAGATCCCGATTCCCATCAGTTCTTATAACGTTGGCACAATCTCTCCTCCATACCTGTCAGCAGGCAGACTCCCCAGCTATAATTATCCTTGCTTATCTTTCCCATTTCCTTTGACTTTATTAGTTTCCGACTACTCATTATGGCAGAGGCTATAGGACCAAAGGAGTTAACTCAAGGTTTAACATGGTAAGATGAATGATCTGTAACAAAAGGAGAAAATGCATAGTGCTAATCAGTCAACACGATAGTGAGTTGCATGACACGAGATGAGTCAAGGGAACAACTGCAGATAACTGGTCACTAGAGAACTTCTGGGAGGTGAGACAATTATCACAGCTCTACTCCGAAGGATTCTGTTTGTGGGTGTAAATCACAGTACAGTTTGGCATTCAAATATAGGTAGCTATATGCTGGAATGCTCCAAGGATTAGAAGGCAGACCACCATAGCCAGTAAGAACCACTCCCACCTGCTCCAGTTTCTTATCTTCAACATCTGTAGTTTTTCATGATATCAACTTCAGAGGAGTCATCTAATATTTAGACCCTTTGGTAACAGGAGAACAACTCAACCTCGATAACTCGATGACATAGGCTTGGATTTATAAGAATTAAGGTTCTCACTGCTGTGGTAAAAAGCATCAAGAGAGCACATTACATTGAAGGAGAGCAAAATGAAAGAAAAAACAGAAATTGGACAGGCAGATACAGTTGAGAATTTTCTCAGCACAGAGGAGGCCTGAGATCTCAGATTTGTAACTCCTGTACATTGATGAGGTTGTGTCCATGGCCTCATGCCATGATAAAAGAAAATCATTCAATAACAAATAGAAGGACGAGTAAAACCTACCATAAACTAAATGCACGAAACACCACTTCTAAATCAACATTGTAACATTGAAGAAAAATCACATTATGAACTAAGAATAACTCCTTTTGGCCAATTAATGGAGAAAAGAACTTACAGTAACTCCTAAAAAAAGAAAAAAGAGAAAAAGTAACTAGCCAAAGAAATAAGCCAACATTCTCCATATTCTAGCAGTGACCGCCATCATAACAAACAGAACTTGCATATCCATTGTCAATTCAAGAAAGAATAAAATCACAAACTTGTAGCAAATGCAGTATTGCACTTTTGAACACCCATGCAGGGGCCTTACAAACAAATAAAACTATGACACTTACTTGAACACCAGCACTGAAGTCTTGTAGACTTTGATTGCCAATTCTTGTCCATCAGATTTTGTTGCATGATAGACATTTGCCTATAAAGGTCAGAGTGACAAAAGGGTCAAGAGACTATGCATTAGCAGCAAAAATATTAACAAGTAAAAACGTGAAACTATAACAATGATGTGGAGAAGTTCCACCTACAATCAATTGGTAGAAAAAAGAAAGTAGTGAATATTGCTGACAGTAGATGACAACATACTTCTTTGCCAGTGGAAATGCAACCATTTATATCATTAAATACTTGACGGTTGAGCATCTTGAAGAGAACCATCCGAGTCCTCTGATCAATGGCCTGCACAACCATACAAACAATTCCATGAGAACTTCTCAGAGATGTTACCATAGCTTCAGAAACTAATAGGAGTAGGGTGGGGCACCGTAATCTCAATAACTTTTAGAAGTGGTCTAACTTCTGAATGGTCATTGCAAGAGGGGACATGAACCAATGCATACACCCATAAAAAAGTTTACTCAGCTATGGTTAAGTCAAGCTCAAATAATGATTTAGCAAAGAGACATATTAAGTTTGCAATAGGCTTCGTTCCAACTTCAAAATTTTTGATGATTAAATTAAAGTAACTATAGTTTGTTTTCCTATATCCATGAAGCACAATAAATTCTGGAAATTAATTGCACCCAAGATTCATGCCGAGTACAGAAGATTTGACCCTGGGATAGAGGTGCAAAGCAAGAGGAAGGAGGCCAATGAGGACATTTTAACAGGGGACATATTGTCTTAAGATGATCCAAGCAACAGATTACACTTAATACAGTATAGAAAATTTTAATGGAAATATTCTACCAAACAATTAGTATAAATTTTCGATCTTTTGACTAAATGTATTTTACCTGCTCGACAGTTGCACGATCAGCTTTCTCATGACTTTTAATTTTGCCAACAGCCATATCCCGCACACTTTCTCGAATTGAAGCTGTCACTGTGCTGGACATGCCGACATTCACCCTTCCCTCCCACTCCTGCAGTTTTCATTCGCACAATTCATTCTTTCAACAAGTTAAATACTCAGCAAAACAAAGAAGCTAGAGAATATCAGTGTCCACCAAAACATGTTGAGAGGCAAAAGTAAGTGGTAGAACTAGCACACTATATATCAACACATGCTTATTCAAGCATCAAAAGTTCCGACCTAAAAAAAATACCATCAAAATGTAGATTAGCTTATGTTTACGTGCCAACCAAATTGATGACAGCATGAACTCAACATTCTTTTTTTGGGGGAAAAGGGGAAAATGTTTGAAAATTTAAAGTTTTTATGAAGTTCTATCACAATTGTGGAGGTTGGTGAAACATGAAAGTGTAGACAGCTGAAACAGGAAGACAGTGAAAAGGAGATTCACTACTATCATCTACCTGACTGTTACCGCAAGTAGACCTGGTGCAGACAAGGTATTTGTTTCAAGCATTGCCACTCAATAAGCATACATCAATTGTAGAATATGCTAGTGAAGCCTATAAAGAGCCTCTCGTTGCACTAAAGGCAGGACTTAAGAACTTCAATGAGAAGTCTTAGCTTCACTGGTCTGGTAATTGATCAAAACTGCGCAATCTCGGAAAGCAACCACTCTGAGCAGCACATTGCTCTACCCACAATATACCAGTACAAAATTAATCACTAGATTATCCAGCCCTTTCCAAAGAACAGCAACTAAAAAGAGAAACCAACCCTTCTATATTTTAAAAACTCCTCCTTGTTCATTTTTATCTATAAGCTCATTTAGGATGCTAACCCTATGCTTCAGAGTTTAATCTTGTTGTAACGATGATGCCACATTTTTCTCCTCCAATTTATTCAAGCATAAAGTGGTGTTCTAACCTCCCCTCGAAAAGAAACAGAAAGTGACTTTAGGCTATTCAAGCAAGCCAAACATGTTGTAATCATCAAAGAAAATCTCTAATCACCAACAGCAGAAAGGAGACATCAAGTTTCACTTCTAATTGTCCAAGGGACTTAGCAACATAAAAAGAACAAGCACGCCTCTGAATTACAAACTACAAAAAGGATAGTCAAGCAACAAGAGAGAAGAAGTCTAAGGACCTCCAAAGGGGAAGCGCGGACATGAGTGGTGAGTTTCTGGCTCCGATTGAACAGGGGTTGAAGCGTGGACGACCGGGCACGCGTGTGGAGCCCTCCGTGAGCGTTCGGACGCCGCGAATTGGGAGCGAAGGCTCCGCCCACCGCTTCTCCGCCGTCTTTCAAGTCCAACCATTCCAGCGCGTTCTCGATTTCGGAATCCGACGACCACGCCTCCTCCTCGTCGTCTTCTTCTTCTTCTTCTCCAACTTCCGCTACTCTTCCTTCTTCCCCTTCTTTAATTCCTCCATTCATTGTTTCTAATCCTACTTCCTCCAATTCCTCTTCCTGCATGGACGCTCTGTTGCAGCCGAACATCAAGTTCCGAAAGGAAAAGCTCTTTGAGGCTGGTGACAATGTGAACGTAGAGAGAGAGGAGAGAGAGAGAGAGAGAGAGAGCGAGCTACCTGAAAAGGGACGCGAAGGAGCTGCAACGGACTCGAGGGACGGAGCTTTGCGGCGCAAGCGGCGAGCTCAACTGAAGCGGCGGCTGAGGACGACGGAGCTTTGGCGGCTGAGCGACCCGACGGGCGGAGGTGGGTGAAGGAAGGAGAGCGGCGGCGGCGACTGTGTGTGGGGCTGGGGTGAACTGAACGAAGGCGCGCAGGCAGGGGGCAATAACGAGGAGCCGCCGAACGTACGGACCGGTTCAATTCGATATCCCAATCCCCCAAAAGGAAGAGCCGGTTTAAAACCGGTTCGGTTTAGTGAACTATTGTTTTTTCCACCTTTCCGAAAAAAAAGATAATAGCACAAACAGTCTTTAAATTTTGACCAAATATGTAACGTGATCTCTAAATTTTTAATGCCCAATGTGATTCATGAACTTTTATGATCCCTAGACTTTTGTTACATTCAGTGTAGTCCTTTCATTAATTCAAGTTTAGGGACTAAATTAAACATGTACAAAAAATTCAGGGACGATATTAAATAAATTAAAAGTTTATGGATCACATTGCATATCTTGACAAAGTTCATGGACTATCATTTTTCCTACCAAAAACCCTTTCTTTGTCCCTTTCAACGGAGCGCCTCTTTCTCCTCCTCTGTAGCTGGAGAGATCAAATATGTTCAACTTCGAATACCCAATAACAAAATCTCAAGGCTGGATAAGTGGGTAATGGATTTCATGCAGCAAAAGCCGAACTCACTCTCTGGAGAAGCTACTCGCCGGTTTGCTATGGAGTATGCGGAAGCCCTGTGGCTCTCTCGTCTTCCGGTCACGTAGGCCCACACCGTGTGGAATCACTGACCAAGCAGAATCAGTAGACAGCGAATTCAAGCGTAGGAACCCAACCCGGAGCCAAAAGATAGCATGATAAAAAAGAGCATCCCTTACTACAGGCAATGGAGCCCGCCGGAAAAGGGAAGCTTGAAATTCAATGAAGTTTGCCTTGGTGGGATCTGTCGCAACACCTCTGGCCGAGCAGTAGCTGGGTTTGCCGGCCAAGCTCGTCGCCACTTGAATTAGGGGCGTAGGGTGTATGGGCACTGGCACGTTGCAGATTGGTTAGCAAAAGCGCAACGCAAAAAGAGACCCTACCTCCTGAGTGGATGTCTATCCCACCGCCGGCTCTATGGGATTTGTTATGTTCAGAGAGTCACAATCTTTATTATTCTTTCAATTTATGATGAATGAATGAAGCTCTTTTCCAACCCAAAAAAAAACCCCTCTCTTAGTCCTTCCATAAGTAAATACACCGCCTTGTTCGGATCTCTATCAAAATTCTAAATGAAATTTCGACCTACTCTCTCTAACATGACAATCACTATCGAAGTCTTAAACAACCTCTCTTACCTTTGTCTTTTATCCAAAGGTCATCGTGGGTTTTCTTCTTTTCGACACGAGAATTTTAACATGTGATGTGTGTTTGATAGGATTTGAAGAGAAAAAATCGCGCGGAATGAAAATATTTTCACTTCGGTCGTTACCCATACTTATTTATTTTATTCTTGGAGATCTCTCGTGAGACTAAATAAAAATGTTGGACAAGCCTTCATTAACTAATTTTCCCCACCAAAAAGAGTCTTAGATTTTTCTAAATACTTGTCGTGCATCAGTTGTATAACAAAAAATAAAATTTGGCCTTTGAAAATCAGTTTAATCAAGCTTTAAACTAGCTAACAGCAAGGACTAAACACAAAAGGGAGCATAAATTAGTCAAGGTTCAAACGTTAGGAAGCAGCTGCCTCACATTGGTGATGTGCTTTACATTTTCGTGATGTGACATATCTCGGACCAAAATGTAAAGCATGTCACCGATTTGATTCGAACCTGTCATTTTCGAACACAATGACAACTGGGTATTTTGATTCGAAACTGTCATTTTCGAACACTATTCATTTTCGAACACTTTGGATTGAAACTTGCGAGAAACTATCATTTTCGAACACATGGGATTGAAAAATGAGGTCTCGATCGACCTCATTTTTCAATCCTAAGTGTTAAACCAACGACCTCATTTTTCAATCCTAACAATCCTAAGTGTTAAACCAAATTTGGTTTAACACTTAGGATTGAAAAATGAGGTCGATCGAGACCTCATTTTTCAATCCCAAGTGTTCGAAAATGACCAAATTGTTCGAAAATGACAGTTTCTTGTAATTTTCAATCCAAAGTGTTCGAAAATGACAGTTTCGAATCAAAATACCCACATCAACATTTTGGTGATAATCTGCAAAATTCAAGACCGCGTCAATTATGAGTGGGGAAAATGGCCACCTCTCTCTCTATAAAATGCACGAGCAAAGCCCTTTCACTTCACCTTACAAATCCCATACATAAAACAGAAGGTCCTTATTAGAATACGTTCAGGCGAGGTGGAGGAGCTGCTACCAGAGAAGCAGTCTTCAAATCCTTCGTCCCTACACAGTGCTCCCCTTCTCCAGGACATGGCCGATGATATAATGACACCTCAGAGGTACGTGATTCATTCGTGTGAATATGCTCTTAAACACTTTGCTTAGAACGTTGATTGAGTAGCCAGTTTTTTTTCTTTTTCTTTCTTTGGAATCTATTTTTCTTTCTTGATTCGCCATAGGGACGACGAGCAACCACCACGTCAGCAACATCAGGAAAGTTTTGGCTCAACCAAGAGGTTTCATATTGTGTTTACCTCATTCAAGCTGCTCGCCATTATGCATTTCAATTCGCAGCGTATCGAGGTGCTGAACCACACAGTTTTACAGTTTTACATCATTTGTGAAGTCATCTACTTTATAGCACTGATCCAAGTGACCGGACCCGCGGGCTCGAACCTGATATACCAGTATTTGTACATTGTTTTCGGGACTCTCAGCGCTGAGTTGCTTCTCTGGACTAGCCTATCTCTAGTCATGTGGCTGGTAATCAATATGTGCTTGCTAGTGTTTGCTTTTGACATCATCCGGTGTGTTCGCACGAGTTTCCAACCGCCTTCAAGAGATTGTTCAACCGTTTGACGATGCCCCGACTTTTGAAGTTCAGTTTGATATTTGAAACTCATACAATCATATCGTGTTTGTGTATCAATCTTGTTGCTTGTCATTTGGAATAAATCTTCAGATTTAGGAAGAGAGAATGTTATCATATACATGTTTTGTATTTGGTGACCCTTATCTTATTGCCATGTAATGTTTTATTTTTAAGTTTTTTGACAGAGATAGTGATATAGTTGGAGCTTTTATCTACTGATACTAATTGATATTTGACCCAATATTTTTACCCTAGTTAGTATAATGTCTCTAGAATCTTGTGTATAAATTTCACGACTTTTCGGGCCCATTTGATAGGTCGAACTCGTTTTCTTCAGAAGCATGTCCGCGTAGCTTATCTTATTCGAGTTATTATTTGATGATATAGTCAATGTTTGACTTGATATTTTTACTGAAGATAGTAAATTGTTTGTAGATTTTACGTCTTTTGAAGCTCATTAGGTGGGACGAAAATGTTTACTTTCGGGACACGTCCATTGTCATGTTGCGTGGACCTTATATTGGCAATATAATATGGTTCATTAATCGGAATATTTTTTTTGGCTTTTGATCCTTTCTTTTTCCTTCTATTATAGTGTCATTGGTGTCTTTTGCTTAAATTTTGTGACCTTTTGGTGTGTGTATATATACACACACATTTATTTTATGCACGGATAATAATATCCTACAAAAGAAACAATTAAGGTGCCATTCTTCAAATAATTGCAATAGGGATGCCAACACTTTCCCTTAGCGAGATTGACTTCCGAACCCATGCACTCTAAACAAAGTTTTTGTGCCCAAATCATACCAGATAAAAGATTGGTGGCAACTCCCTTTTTTGTTATTTATTTACATTTGTTGTTGACATTAGTTTTACCTATATATATTTACATATATATAAAATGTAAGCAAGTACAATAGAATTTTCGGATCTAGTTACTTCACTAAAAGTCTCTATTCTCTATTCTCTCATCTTTTTGATAGAATATTTAAATATTAAATCACGCCTTCATCTAATCACTTAAATTTTAAGAAAAGTTGATTCTGATCCCACAAAATCTCATATGGTATTAGAATAGAATTTACACAATTTTCTTCATTAAAAATACATCAAATGTGCAGAAATTACACGATTCTCTTTTCCGCATTATTTTTATACGATATGTTGGGTCAAATCATGCTTATGGCAAGTTCTCGTCACGGTCATTTACGGAAAAAGAAAGTTAAAACTAATATGTATGTTTCTGTTAAATTCTTAAAATCAAGACCCCATGAAGCATGTCATGAAAGAGTGGCGTTTGTGGTTGAATCGTACTTCTGCGTTGGCTTTGATTGATGTATGTGCCAATTTTTGTTTTCTTTTTCTTCTTTCCAGTCTATGTTTAATAAACTTAACCCAAAAGGATCTCCCCATAAATTCCATTATTATCTCTATATAATAAAGCAAATCCAAAGATTACTTCAATCTCAAACTTTTTACCTATGAATTCCTTGAAAAAATCCATGATGAACTATAATTAACATAATCGAATGACGAAATCGCTATTTTGAAAGTATCTCACATTTCCCATAACGATAATTCCTCGAATTTCTACCAATCTGCCAAACTACAATCTATTTTTTTTTTCCGTTTTGGATAAATTAAATTCTCTCTCTCTTTTGTTTCGAAGAAAGATTAAAGTTATCTGCTAAAATAGACCAAGTATTTCGACAACATTCTTTTTATACATTTGATTCCTCCTTATATCGCTTCACACGATGGCGTGTGTGCTTTTTGCTAGCAATAGCCTAATGGGGGGCAATTGCACTAAGTCAAACCTTTTAGCACTTTAAAAACAGGTTCTTTGAAAGTTGCTCTGCAGGAAAATCAAGGCGACGACACGAGACGAAAGTGTGGTGGTGGGGCTAAAAGACCCTTTGAACAGTTAAAAGGAAAGAAGCTATCATGTTTTTGCGCCATCACATAACAATGTCTAGTGGCAACTTTCCGCGGCCAATCTTGTGAACCTTTTACACTCTCCCACAAGTCTGATTCCCATATACAATTCCTGAATTTGGTGAACCTTACCTTATTGCCATTTTATATGTACACAATTATTCGAATTTCGTCTTAGTTCTTTTT